ACTACAATTCCTAAAGCGCAACGCAACAGTAAAAACACAACTTTCTACCCATAACCTGCAAGCTACGAAATTCCCTTCTGGCAAAACACATTTATACTGGGAGATGCAAAATTAAAATCTGCATCTGGGAAAAGGAATTAATGGCGGATACCGCGTTCGCGTGTTATAAGAAGAAAACTACAATTCCTAGCGCAACAAGGCACTACGGCGCAAAACAACACAACTCGGCATTATAACTCGCGTTACGGAATTTTCAATGAAATAATTCAATGAAATATTTAATCAAAAGAATAGAAATACTAACACCGATAAATAAGTAGAAGTCAAATAATTCTCGTGCGCAAGCTGTAGGTACGGAATAGCTTTATCTTGTTTCATTTTTGCGCATCAACCGGCCCAGCATCTCACATCAGTCGGGAAGCAAACCGTGAAAGAAAGTCAATAAATCTGCATATCAGGGCATTCCAGTGTAAAATATTTAAACATCAGTGAAAAATAAGCATTCTAGCGGCAATGTATTAAATTTATAGTAATTCAAACCGGAAATGACAATTACAATGAAGCGAACTAGAACTATGCCTCATGAAATGTACTTAATTATAATCTCACCCATGTACTCTCTCCACGTGTATGGTAACTCATGGTCTCACTGGTACTTCACTACTATAATAAATGAATAAAAGTTAAAACATGTTATATAAATGCAAAATAAAAGAATGTATCAATCTGCATCAAAACACGATGTTTGTTGTCGAAATGGTGCACGGTGCATCTCCCACACACGGCGAACGATAAGAACATTACCTGCCGTAAACAAACACCGATAAGCGTCAATAGTCGAAGTTATTTGAACACAGTGCTAGTTGGCAATGTCGGCAATGCTAGAAACGCTTAGATTTTAATTTGAATTTAATAAAAGATGCAAAACGTTCATATGAATTTACTGTATTAATTAGGTTTTGGTGATCGTATTATTTGCAACAGGAGGCGCAATACTGGCAGCGGCCATGCGATGCGCCTGAAAGGGGAAATTACATGCACGGTGAACGCGACGTTATATCGGATACCGACAGGCGCATAGAACGGAAAACTGGGGTCTCAATTACATTTATTATTCTAACTTTAAATTAAGTCCAATGCTATTTACGCAAGTGCAGAATAAAAATAAATACCACTCTTACCAATTGAAGATGGCCGACGCCACTTCACAACAAGTAAACAACATAGCCGCGATACATTTACGCGCAAATAATAAAATAACAATACTAAAGTTGTCGCTAAACAATAGGTCAATTGATGGATCGAATATAATCTGAATTGCAGTAGAACCGGATAAACAATAGAGTCGCGCAAAATGTCCGGATCAACCAGCGACCGGCACAAACTGGCCGCAAGCCGCATAAGCAAACGACGAGGAAGCCGGCGATAAGAAAACAGGTGCGCAAAGCCGGCGCGTCACACGCGACCTTATGCGTGAATTGCAATAGATGCGCAACTGAGTGGCGCGTCGTTGGTACGACCTGGCGCGCGAAATTGCATCAGCCATCTTCTGGGATCAAAACTAAACTAAGATGGCAACATGCGGCGAGGTGCTGGCAAACGTGACGACACGGCAATGTGATAAGAAAGTATATTGTGTTCCAACAAAAGGACAAATGCTTTATTTTACATTTTTAGTCCATTCTAATAAGCATCTATAAAATGATACAGTGGTTTCTGAAATATAGACAGTATAATAAAATTAAAAATTCGATTCGCGTACTCTTGATATTTATTCTCTGATATTCTGATATTTAATTGAACATTCATCGTTTTTCCTTCACCAGGGAACATATATAATACTTTGAACTGTAATCATCTGTTGCTGATAATAAAAATGCATTAGAATTTATAAAATTCAGCTAGTTATATTCATGAAAGAATGTGAAGCTAAGGTTTATTTACGATCCCAATATAATAAACAGCAACGGTGCGTTTTGATTCCACGAAATAAAGATTCGATACCTGCAGGTAAACAAACTTATCTCTTTGCGCTAAAATCGCGTGATTCACACCGCACGGTAAAACCCACTACCGCCAACAAATGCTAAATATTTTAATGCAAAACCGTAAATCTTAGCGCCATCTAACCTTTGAAAATATTAATCAACTACAAAACACGTTTATCAAATATGCAACAAAAATATGCAAAAAAGTCAATACATATCGGGAAATGAGGTAAATAAATTTCACCACAGGGAGATACAGAATTCAAATTCCGCATCAGGGAAAAAAATGATTTCAAACCTATTGTGACACCGCGTTCGAGGCCATATTCAATCATTTCATTTTATTCAATCGCGAATATCTCGCAAACTAAAAGAGATAAAAAGGTACAAATTGCAGAGATTATTCTACGGACCATTCTATAATGATAGGCTAAACCAACCGGTGGTAAAATGGCAAATAATTATATTTCCTACAGTAAAGGTCGAAAACGCGACCAAAAGTGCTAAAAGTGACATTTTGCAATTTTGCCCATTTTATTCAATCGCGAATAAATATCTCGTAAACCAACAGAGATAAATACAGACCTGGATCGCAGCGTCTTATTCCGGACCAATCTCATCAGATAGGATAGCTAAAAAGGGAAACCGAGAGATAAATTTTAAGTCTTGCGAAAAATTCGCTAAGGGGTGTTTGATACTTTTTCTTCGACGATTTTGCGTACCCATATCTTAAACTAAACGAGATAGCTGTACCAACGAATTATTGATTATGAAAGATTGAAAAATTCTCAATCAGGTAAAATATAAAATAATTATATTTCCTACAGTAAAGGTCGGAAAAACGGGGCGACTGTGCGCTAAAAGTGACATTTTCAATTTTGCCCATTTTATTCAATCGCGAATATCTCAAAACCAAAAGAGATAAATAAGATCTGATCGCAGCGTTCAATCTACGAATCCAATCTCTATCAGATATAGATGCCGCGGAAATCTGAGAGATGTTCTAAGTTCAGAAAAAATTAAGCGGCGGGGGTGTTTGATACTTTTTTCGACGATTTTCAAAAATTCATATCTCTTAAACTAAAAGAGATAGCTACCAAATCTGTTGATTATGAAAGATTGGAAAATCTCAATCAGGTAAAAATATAAAATAATTATATTTCCTACAGTAAAAGGTCGAAAAACGCGACTAAAAGTGCTAAAAAGTGACATTTTGCAATTTTTGCCCATTTTATTCAATCGCGAATATCTCGTAAACTAAAAGAGATAAATAAGATCTGATCGCAGCGTCTTAATCTACGGACCAATCTCTATCAGATAGGATAGTTAAAAGGGAAATCTGAGAAATACAATTTTAAGTCTTAAGAAAAAATTGCCAAGGGGGGGTGCTTGATACTTTTTTTCGACGATTTTCAAAAATTCATATCTCTTAAACTAAAAGAGATAGCTACCAACGAATTGTTGATTATGAAAGATTGGAAAATTCTCAATCAGGTAAAAATATAAAATAATTATATTTCCTACAGTAAGAGGTCAAAAATCGCCACTAAAAGTGCTAAAAAGTGACATTTCTCAATTTTTGCCCATTTTATTCAAACGCGAATATCTCGTAAACTAAAAGAGATATTTAAGATCTGATAGCAGCGTCTTAATCTACGGACCAATCTCTATCAGATAGGATAGTTAAAAGGGAAATCTGAAATCTATAAAATCTATAAAATCTATAAAATAATTATATTTCTAACAGTAAGAGGTCAAAAATCGCCACTAAAAGTGCTAAAAAGTGACATTTCTCAATTTTTGTCCATTTTATTCAAACGCGAATATCTCGTAAACTATAAGAGATTAATAGGATCTGATCGCAGCATCTTTGTTATTGCAAAAATCAAGGTATGGTGTCGGTAGAAGTGTATAAGAAAAAGTATTGAACTAGTGCATGCTGTACCTCAGCCAAACAAAAAATATCGCAACATTTCATGATGCGACTACCTGCTGCCCGAACGCGTAAAGCCGGCGCAAGGATGGCCCGCGACCTTGTGTACAAACTGCAATATATGATACATGCAATTTAAACAAACATTAGCAGCAAAGCGAGACGAGCGAGGATGGCAACGACCGACAACACACGGCAAGTTGGGCGTAGCTATTCGCACGGCCATAAAAAATCAAAACAAACACAATTCTCGTGTCGAGTGCCAACGTTTTGCTGATAAATATAGAAATAAACAATAAAAGTCAATTTTATAATTTTTAGTCCACGCTAGTGCCATCTATAAATGATTCAGGTAGTAGTCCCACGATTAAGATTAAGTATTAAAATTGATGAAAAAATTAAATTATATTTATGCAACTAAAAATTCTTATGACAAAAGATTGACCGATGTTACATCAAATATTTGCGAGATATTAAGTCTAAAGTCAATTCTTACTAAAGTAAAAACCTCCAAAACGGTTTAATGAAGAAAATTGGTGAGCTGCGACTGCGATCAAATTAATAAACAAGTAAACTTAATTACCTTTCTTTCGATGTGTGTTGTGACCATTCCAGTACAGCCCTTTGAGCTGGTTAACACCTAAATGAAACAAAAAATAAAACAAATCAGACAAAACATTTAAAAACATTCAAATTCCTTGTATTAGTATTCAAACAAAGTTCTCTGATATTCAGATAATCTAATGACAGCTTGTTGATGTTTAAATGAAGCCATGAAGCGATAAATTTGACTTACCGGGGTCAAATGAAGATACTACATCTTCGAAAACGGCGATGATAAAGTCCAAAGTGTGTATGCCAAATTTTCGTTTCGCAAAATCTTGACAATAACATCGATGTTGGAATAGTGAAGACATAAAACGGATAAATTACGGTACGTTTTAGTTTAACGGAAAACTAAGTAAAAACGGCGTTGTTTATATTGTAAAAGCGCGAAATTATGAATAACACGACAAGCAACGCACTACCAACGACGGACGAATTCATACTGACGTGCGAAAATAGCGTGGATGCCAAGCTGCTCGCGGCGAACTGTCATCTGTCATGAACTCCTATGGAAGTACACGTTTCAAAATTTAAAGGTTATTTGCGGCGACGTTTGTGGGATATTCCAGAAATCTGAAAACTAGAATATTGCAAAAGTACTGAGCCCATCTACCATTGGATTAGATATTTGCATTACTATGGTAAATTATATATGTCTTTCTTTTTACAAATCATAATCATAGTTAATAGTATGCTTGAATTTAATTTGTAATTTAATCTTGGGTAACTTGACAATATGTTAAAATAGGCTTCCAGTGAAAGAAAAGGTACTTTCAAAGTGGAGTTCCTCCAAAAGATTGAGGAGGATGTTCAAGAAAAGTGGCGAAAAGACAAAATCTATGAAGAAGATGCACCAAAAACACCCTGCAAGTCAAAGGATGAGAAATTTCTTTGCACTTTTCCATTTCCTTACATGAATGGTAGACTGCATCTTGGGCATACATTTTCTCTATCAAAATGTGAGTTTGCTGTAAGATATCAACGCCTTTTGGGCAAGAAAGTTCTCTTTCCATTCGGTTTCCATGCTACTGGAATGCCAATTAAAGCCTGTGCTGATAAGTTGAAGAGGGAAATGGAGTTGTATGGTACACCTCCCAACTTCCCTGATGATGATGAAGTGGTGAAGAAAGCGGAGGAGAAGGATGTCATACCAAAGGATAAGAGCAAGGGTAAAAAAAGTAAGGCTGTTGCAAAGGCAGGCTCAGCTAAATACCAGTGGCAAATTATGCAAAGTTTGGGAATGGATGACAGTGAGATTGCTAAGTTTGCTGATGCAAACCATTGGTTGGAGTATTTTCCGCCTTTGGCTGTACAGGATTTGAACAGTATTGGAATCCATGTGGATTGGAGGAGGACCTTCATCACTACTGATGCCAATCCTTTCTTTGATTCCTTTGTTAGGTGGCAGTTTATTCGACTTAAGGAAAGAAACAAGGTAAACTTCTAACAATTAATAATAGTATACTTAATATACCATTATATAACACTGATTGTGGTTGAATTAGGTTCAATATGGAAAAAGATACACAATCTACAGTCCCAAGGATGGCCAACCCTGTATGGACCACGATCGTTCCACTGGAGAGGGTGTCGGACCACAGGAATATACTTTGATCAAAATGTCCATGCAGAAACCCTATCCGGCAAAATTGGCTAAACTTCAGAATAAACAGATCTACCTGGTTGCAGCTACCTTGCGTCCGGAAACAATGTACGGTCAAACCAATTGCTGGATCCGCCCTGACATGAGATATATTGCTTTTGAAACCAAGTCGGGAGAAGTGTTCATTTGCTCGGAACGGTCGGCAAGAAACATGTCGTTCCAAGAGATGACTAATGAGCAAGGAAAATATACAATTATCGTTGAACTCAAAGGCGAAGACATTCTAGGTTGCGCTCTTAAGGCACCATTGATAAAATATGATAAAATCTACGCTCTACCAATGTTAACTATCAAGGAAGACAAAGGCACTGGTGTCGTAACTAGTGTACCTTCGGATTCACCAGACGACTATGCTGCTTTGGTTGATTTAAAAAAGAAGCAACCATTTAGAGAAAAGTACGGCATTAAAGATGAGATGGTTCTGCCCTACGAGCCAGTTCCTATTATTGAAGTTCCGGAATTTGGTAATTTGTCCGCTGTAGTCGCTTATGACAAACTGAAAATTCAAAGTCAGAACGATAAAGATAAATTGTTGGAAGCTAAGGAAATGGTGTACTTGAAAGGGTTTTATGATGGAGTGATGTTGGTTGGAGAATACAAAGGCAAGAAGATTAAGGACGTCAAGAAAGCTTTACAAAAGGCTTTGATTGATAAGAACGAAGCAGTCATCTATTACGAACCGGAGAAGACAATCATCTCCCGGTCGGCCGATGAATGCGTGGTTGCACTCTGTGATCAATGGTATTTGGACTATGGAGAGGAGAAATGGAAGAGTCAAGCTGAGAAATGTCTTGCAGAAATGAATGTCTACCACGATGAAGTGCGCAAAAACTTCGTGGCATCTCTCGACTGGTTGCACGAATATGCCTGTTCGAGGACGTATGGTTTAGGTACCAAGTTGCCTTGGGATGAAAAGTGGCTCATCGAATCACTATCAGATTCCACTATCTACAATGCGTACTACACTATCTCCCACTTCTTGCAAGGAAATTCGTTTAAAGGTGACAAACCTAACGCACTTGGCATCAACGCCAAAGATTTAACACCGGAAGTTTGGGATTATATCTTCTTCAAAACCAAACCATATCCCAAATGTAACATTAAAAAGGAGACTCTGGATGTGATGAAAGCCGAATTTGAGTACTGGTATCCTGTGAATCTGCGAGTCTCTGGAAAAGATTTGATTCAGAATCATTTGACTTACTATATTTATAACCATTGTGCTATGTGGCCGGAAGACGAGGGCAAATGGCCGAAAGGTATACGCGCAAATGGCCACTTGTTGTTAAACTCTGCCAAAATGTCAAAGTCTGATGGTAACTTCATGACGCTGAGCGAAGCTGTGAAGAAATTCAGCGCCGATGGCATGCGATTATGTCTTGCTGATGCTGGTGATTCTGTAGAAGATGCTAACTTTGTCGAGAGCATGGCCGATGCCGGCATACTTCGCTTATATACTTTTATCGAATGGGTGAAGGAAATGCTTGCTAATAAATCGACGTTCCGCAAAGGCAAGGCTGATACTTTCAATGATGTTGTTTTCCAGAGTGAAATTAACTTAAAAATCAAAGAGACAGCTGATAATTATTTGAAGATGTTGTTCAAGGAGGCTCTGAGGACTGGTTTCTTTGAGTTGCAAGCAGTCAGAGATAAATATTTGAATTTGTCTGCCATTGATGGACTACATCATGATTTGATCTTTCAATTTATCGAGGTGCAGGCAATTCTATTATCTCCTATTTGCCCACATATCACGGAACATGTCTGGAGTTTGTTGGGCAAAAAGGGAAGCATTGTAAATGCCCGCTGGCCGAAAGTAGGAGCAATCGATGAAGTAAAGATTAAAGCGTCTGAATATCTAATGGAAGCTGCACATTCGTTCCGCATTTATCTCAAGACTTACATGCAAGGTGTTAAACCGAGTAAGCAGAATCCCAAACCAGCTGCGATTGAAAAACCAAACGTGGTGGAAATTTGGGTCGCGAAAACTTTCCCTCAATGGCAGAGTTGCATCCTTTCCACACTCAAAGAATTGTACGACAAGAACAAGGGAGTGTTACCTGATAACAAGCAATTATCTGTTGAATTGGCTAAAAAAGATGACCTTAAGAAGTACATGAAAAGGGTGATGCCTTTTGTGCAAGCTACCAGGGAAAAATTAGAACAGATTGGACCTAAAGCACTTGCCTTAACTTTGGAGTATGATGAAGCAGATGTTTTAAAGAATAACAGTGTCTATTTGGCAAATACGCTGGATGTTGACGAAGTTAGTGTGAGATTTACTGATGAGCCGGGCGCCAGTGAGAAAATGAAGGAGTGTTGCCCCGGACAACCATTTGTGCTCTTCAGTACTAAACCTGGCGTGAAAATTAATTTGATTAATTCCGAGCCGCAAAATGGATTGTTCAATCAATGGGTGAAAATTTCCGATGGGGATACTTTGGAGAAGATTAAATCCAAGCTGATCAAGGAGGTGCGAGTCCTTAAAGGTAAGCATGTTTTAAGTCTTAAACAATGAAGTTTTCTTACTTGTAACACTTGAAGTCGTTGTTAATATAATTTTTTTTTCTTCTTAGAATCGTCGAATATTGAGTTTTGGCGTTTTGAAGATCCCATCAAAGGCCCGATGAGTATTCCAGTTTTCAATGCACCAACCAAAAACAAAGTCCAATTGAATCTTCAAGTGACCTTCAAGGTGGATGTGAACAAGAAGCAAGTTGCTCTACAAGAAAACGGCAAGACCCTGGTAATTGGGGACACATTGTTCTACATCTTAAAGTAAAAATGTAACAGTTAAACGGAAATGTATTATTCAAGTTTTTCGCTGAAAATTCAATTGAAATTCTCGTTTTCTTTACATCTATAGTAAACGTTTGTTCATTTCATGATAAAAAAGACGTCATAAAAAATAAAGAAGTTTTTTTTTTAAATTTAAAATAAAAAAGGAGAATTTATATTACACATTAATTATGCATTATGAAGTAACATAACTATGTACAAGCCTTAAAAGTGAACAGATGATGTTTGTAGAGGTATTCATACCTGATGCCGATGCATTTGCAATCATTTTCTTCTTGTAATCTTTAGGATCGAAAATTGCATGAAGTCAAATATTTTCAATAAATTTAGGTTTCCTTCCCGGCGAATTAAAGTAAAGTGCACGTGTCTTCAGTTTTCGGGAGCATTACCCTCGAATGTGCTATTTAGAATTTCAACAGTTAACGAATTCTGTGCCAATCCACATTTACATTAAACCTGGATAAAACCAAACTGAGTGATAATACAAAAATAATACATGAAATTACACATGTAAAAATGCTAAGAATTCATTCGTTCTCGCGATCTCCTCATTCTGAACTTGCCTTAAACAATCAAATAAGTTACATATTATTTACAAACTCACAGTATACTGATCAGTGTGTTGTATTGTGTATCGTGTGTATGTATGTGGGTGAATGTTGTATGCGTGTGTCGCCCGGCCTAGGAGAATAACGCGATTGGCTGCTAATGTTAGGTGTTGCTAGTGGACGGTATGTCGATCGTGTGGCTCTCGTTGCCGAAGATGAGCCGCAACCGCTTCATGGGCGGATGCAATTTCGGCACCGCCGCCGCCGCCGCTGCCTCTTCCTTGAGGCGGCGTTCGCGCTTGCGGTCTTTGGATTTGTGCCGCTTTTTCCGATGCGAATACGGCGTGGTGTAAGCCTCCACACCCTCAACACGCAGCACCTCGTACTCAGGCTCAAAATTGTCCTCACTCATGCTATTGCCTGATTCTATCACCTCGTCAAGCATCGGCGAGCGTTTCATACGTAGAGTCAACTTCAACCGGCCGCACTTTTCGGGCGTGCGCTCCGGATGGTGTTTTACAGCCGACGTGGGTGTGCTGTTGATTACCATCGGCGGCGCATTCGCCGGTAGGTGTCGTTCTGGAGTACCTGCATTCCGCTTCGCAATGGCAGTTGGTTTGTCGTGGTCAGCCTTGTTTCTCATTTCAATACCGTCTTTGTCAGAGTCACTTTTTATCACAATTTCACTAGATTTACTACTACAGTGGGTGGTGTGTCGGTGGGACGCAGTGTGTTTATCCTCGTCGTTGAACTCGTACACATCTTTATTGCTATGATCAGTAGAGGCAACCGGCGAGCTCACTTCATCTTGGCTCAGTTTCACGCTCGTGCGACTGGAATTTCGCGTTTGGCGTTTTGCACCAACCGGCAAGAATTTTGAGACCTCAGATTCAATCCCGTTTAGTTCTTCTTTATCGTCTTTATGACTTCGAAGTGCACGGCCAAAAGAAATGCTCTGATCTGTATAAAAACAGAAAATTTGGTGTGAAATGAACAAAACATTCTGAAAACACACTAAAAACCTACCTAGAATTGTGCTAGCTGAAGGAACACCTTTTCCACTCTCATGAGAGTCGTTGAACTTTTTGTTCTGCTGTGTGGCATCGCTCACAGGATCATTATCACTATAGGTAGCGCTCGTACTGCTCGTATTGCTCTGCAAATCGTCCAGCAAATTCGCCCGCGACATCTGCAACTTTTCCTGATAGGCAAGCCGCGCATTGCGCTTTTGTAATCGCGACGCCCTCGTATTAACGCTATTGCTAATATTGTTATTGATATTCTTAACGCCATTGACGACTTTCTTTTCGACATTCGTCGCCTCTACAGTCTCAGTAGCACTACCTGAATTTGCACTTCCCGTACTACCTGAACTACTGCGCCGTTGAAACTCACCAACATCGGAAAAATTACATCCCTGTGCAATCAACAGTTCCGCATCGTATTTTGTCAAACCCTTCTGTCGCAACTCCTTGATACTAAGAGGCGCAATAATATTTACATCCACTTTTTCATCACGTTCGATTTCCTCCGGTTGCTTTTCCACAGTATTATCATTCGTCAAGTCGCTGCATCCGTTCTCTATCGTTTTTCCTGCGATTTCTGCTTAGTACGATTTATTCGGTTATCGGTTTCGCGCAATCGATATCCGTTCTCCTCTTTTTTCTCGGCGTGTTTCGCTGCAAACGCACCAGTGCCCCTACGTTCGCAAGTCTCACACTCGCAATAGCAGTTTTTGTCTCCGAAGAAATCTTCGCCATAAAAGCAAGTGATTTCTTCGCCAACTTCAATGTCCCGCAGTACCTTTACACAAGCCGTGTCTCGGCCGGTTGCAACAAACTTACAATTCGCCCGGCAGTCATGATTGATATATGCAGCAGGCCCCAGCCACAGTTGCGCGCAGTTTTTCCGACAGCTGTACATCACAGAAAAGTCGTTCTTACCGGGGTTGAGCAGCATGCTTTCCTCCGCCTCAGTCAGTTCCGCGATGCAACCAACCAGGCATTCAATTTTATCATGCTTGTTCCATTTCTTCGTCGAGGATATTTTCGCACCTTTTTGACCTTCCAGTGAGTAACGGAAACATGGTTCTATCACAAAACCAGATTCTTTATCAAATACTCGTAAATATCGATAAATCTGTAAGAATTATTAATGCCATCATTAAACAAATTAAAAAATTGAACTAAGTTGAGTAATATAGGCAACCACAATCGCAAGTACTAAGGGCGATTGATGAAAATGATTGATTTTAGTGACTTACATGTTCTTCTAATCGTTTTTTCTCGTTTTTGGCCTTCGCACGCGGCATCCACTCGCCCTTGGATATGCGCGCATAAGCTTTCTCATAGTTCTGCTCTTTGATGAACTCAGCCACAATGCCTTTCAATTCTGCATTGTTGATACGCAGCGTCTTATTACGGATGTTCATCTTATGCGTGGTGAAGCCAAGATGCGGGTCCAGGACAAGTGAGGTCGCAAGGTCGTCATTTTCTGACAGCTCCTTGGGATTCATCCCCGCGGGCTGCATTTTCGTCGTCAGCGGTCGCGATTGTACATCAACAACCATTCTGATTACTGCAATATCAGAAAAGCCAAGGACATTGGTTCAAAATTAATTTCTTCCAAAATGAAAATCTTGATCTTAACCTAGGTAAACATTATTCGAGGTTATGGGCGAAGAATTAAACAAAGACAGGAGAAAAAAATCATCCCGACTTGTCCCGCACGAATGACAATCCTAAGGGCACTCCCACCAGCACGTACGCAACTCTAATTGAAGTCGCACGCGAACTTAATTGATCAAGTCGACGGCGGCGGCTTCCAGCGGCCGCAATTCGCAAAAATCACGAATCGCCTAGACATCGCTTACTCGCATAGGAAGGATCGTTAAGGTGCCATTGAACCGACTGCTGGAAGCTGCCGCCTGAGCCGCCCCCACATTCAGCTATGATTGGCAGGCGGACGACAGATTAATATATATAGCACACATTACCACTGCTTGACGATCCAACGGCCACAATATCCACATTATTCGAAAACCAGGCCCTGGTCAGCGGGTACGCGGAGCGAAGTGACGCTTGAAATCAATCATGGCAGGAGCGCGACGGCATCGCAGCGACGCAAGAGCTGAACAATGTAGCTCTCAGGCGAGCGGCCGACAGCGATCACACAAAGTGCGCATCGACGGCCCAGTCGCGGTGGGCCAGCGTGCGGCGGCGGTTGCGTTACGGACGATTTAGCGAATTTAATTAAAAGCCAACGGCTCGCTACATCCGACTCGGCGTTTGACAGTCGCTCGTGTACCGCTTAGTACAGAACACAACCATGTTTGTTGGGTGCGCTGCAATCGTCGATAACTAGCGAATGTGCGGTGTTGCCACGTTGACCTACCTCAACAAAATCAAACAAACTTTATAAAATTCTATCTTGAATTTCTTGTAATTATCAAAATTACGTTTCAATGGGTCTATTCTAAATTGCTATGTTAATATTAATTATAGATTATAGAATTAATCCCTTTTTATCAACGTAAATTTCTAAATAATTACAAAATATGGCCGCCAAACATGCATTATATGCGCAATAATTATAATTCAAATAACGACGCAATCAAGTTCACCACATTTAGGTAACTCCTCAATTGTGGCCACCATAGATTTCGTCATGTAAGTCATTGTACCATATCCACCACTTGGTGCACTATCATAAAAATGTTGACAAATGAATGCGGCGCCTCCACATACCAAGCCGCCTCTTGTTGATGTTTCACGCTCGTGTTTTGGCTTTGCACAGCAAAGGGTTGCATCGCCATCACAATTTATCTGAAATAAATAATTATACAATGATTTAAACAACTGAAAAACTCACTTGATCATTGAGGAAAATCTCATTCGCTGCGTGAACAATCTGTTCAATTTGTATCACACCTCCCAAGGACTTCACTACATTATATTCCGAAACTAACGTGAGCACCATAAGTGCCTCTACTACCAATTGCCGATATTCTGGTTGGGGCACTGAGTTTAATACTGTTTCAAACGCCAGTGCGAATTTAAGCTCTCCAGGCGTCATTTCTTGTGTGAGAGTTTGCGGTAAAACATGGCCGCCAATATCAATTCCCTGGCACTGTAATAAAACAAAGTTTAAGGAAATAAATAAATAAATATCTGGATATGAATACAGCGCACCTTTTCGAGTATTCCCCAAACTCTAGGATAAAAATCGTGTGGCACTCGATTCAAAGCGCCATCTAATCTCCTCCGTCTGAGCCATTGTCCTTGTTTATCAGGCTCAATGGTTTCCTCATGCACGCCAAGGTCTAAACCAATATGACTTCTCTAATATACAAAATATATTAAAGCATTAAAATTAAAATTAAAATCTGCAAATTTAATACTCTTACCTTACTTATCCTACTCGACTTACTACTAACAATCGAAAAATTCCCTCTGCCCACACTACTGATAGCAAACTCTTTGCCACTTAGGATGTGATGCAGCAAATTCTTCATCTCGAACGGGCTAAGGTTGAGTAAATGCTCCGAGGCATCCTCCCCATCGCAGACGAGAGTTCTCGACAGTTCAGTTGCCATCACTTGAATAATCAACCCAACGCGCAATCGCAGCATTTCCCTGAATAATTGTGGCTCAGTGCGGATGAACATAGCGAGATAAACCAACAATTCGTGGGTCAACATTGCAGTCGAGTCATCTTCGCCATAAGCTTCACGAATTAAAGAGCGCAGTTCGCTTTCCGGCAGCGGGGCACTAATTGTGTGCTCGTTATTAGGCGGCATGCCAACGGTGATTTGTTTTTGTCGCACGAGTAAATCAGTAACGGCTTTTGCTAAATCTTCAACTCGTTTTCCCAACATTCCTTTAAATATTAATCATAATTCTACATTTTCAAGTTTATGCTTATTATGAGTATTTACCTGCAGTATGTCGTACAAGTCCCCATAACTTTTGCTGACAAGCTTTTTCATACAATCCTTTGAGCAAATCCCTTAAAGTAACAACCTTACCATATTCCAACATGCCTGTATTGTGGTCTAATCCTTTCTGATCGACCAAATATTGCAAAATATCGCCTTGCTCGTCCAAAGACTCTGACTCACGTAACATGGCGAATAATTCATCAACCTCTGTTTCAGCGTACTGCGTCTCCGAAGGACTTCGATGTCTACCAATCACAATATTAGGCACATCTGGTCTTAACAATTTCGGGCGCACATTAATGGGTGATGGAGATCTGGCTCGAGAATCTGTTTGATCTGTACTCAAGCCTGATCTATCTGCACCTACTGTAAGACTCCCAGCTATACAAATATCAAACAAAATAATTTTCATTACAAATCTTGTTTATAATAACTTACATTCCATGACATTTATTGACCTGGTGCGTTTTATAAGTCCTTTCACCGACATTTTGCGTTTTAAATGTCTTCCACGACGACTTGGATTCGTTACCAAGAGAAGGGACGTTTTATTAGAGAAGCATTTCATTAGGTGTTCCTCTAAATATTCGCCTACACGCGGATTTAACTCTAGAATAAAATATAATACAAAGAATGTCAAAACTAACTTAAACTACTTACTATCAGGCAATCCATCTTCATGACACCCCAGAAAACTCAAATTTGTAACACAACTTGTACTCAGAAAGTCGTTCAGGTTACCCAAAGTCACTCTAGTACCATTGATGTATCCCGATTTTAATTTCTTCATTGTTGTTATCAATGCTAAAGGTATTTTACCCTGATCTAAACAAAATAAGTAATATTTAATGTTTAACATTAAAAAAATACACACAAATAAACATGCAATAATTAATAAATAACAAATGAGACAATTGTTTGAAATTGAAGAAATGAGTGTGGATTACCCGAGTTATCCATTGTGATGACAACGGTAATGGTAGGACGACCGAGCATGTTACGCCAATTGTTTTTCAAGAACGACAGATTCGTGGTGAACTTGTCGATGAGCAAATCAGGATCGAAGTTCGTGTAATGCTCGCCCATGTCAAATTTCTGCATGCAATAACACCACAACATTTAATTTTTGTTTCCAAAACGTCTCGTCCCAACATTACATATAAATATATAGAAAAATTGCATGCAAACTTGATCAATACAATCAACAACTCTGCGACTTTGAACGTTTGTTTAGTGACATTGAAAACAACGTGATGTAATGGAGTTGGTACTGAATGTGAATATATACCTAAGTGAAGTGCTCTGAGAGCAATCGTAACGACGGGCCGACCTAACATATGCTGCCAGCTTGATTTCAAGAAATTGATCTCACTCTTGCATATATCAATCATAAGCTCGTAATCCGAAGCAATATAGTTACGCGACATGTCGGTAAACTATAGAAAAATCATAAAATTACTCCATTTGTTTTAGTAAACAAACACCGCAATAATTTCAAATTAATATTCTGTTGATGTTTATCAAAATCATTACCTGTGGTGTAAAAGCAAATATTTTATCTCCCATTGAATATAATTTACTTGTGCTTAATATTCCTACATCCCTGGATTTTCTGCCTGTGAGTCCCAACTTTTTATTCCTACCTGTTAGTAAATATCGAAATAATGCATGAATTTTAAATTTTAAAAAGTGTTTTACCCAAATACGTATAAAGATGTGATAAAACCCTTGCTGGTTGAACCTCAATCGGAGCAACCTCAGCAATAGTCTGCACTTTGATATCATGCTCAGCTAGTTTATCACGAATATCGTTGTCTTCTGCAAGGATGACCACTTGTACTACAACATCAGGTTTCTTCTCAGAGCAAAGTCGCCGATTTAATGGATCTAGTTCTCCAATGGCTAGAAATCCATCCTGTAGTAACTTTCCTAGGATGTAGAGGGACTGAGCCCAGAGGAAAGTTTTTGACCAAGTGGGACCCGGTCTTGTGAGCCTGGATCTTTATATTCCGCGGCCACCAAGTGTGATGGGACTGCATACAGCTCTGGTACTAGGTTAATTCCATCATCGGAACGTATCATAACCTAATTCAAAATGGATGATTTATATTAACTGTAAATTTTGTAGTTTTTACAGGAAAAGTAGCAAAAAACTTACATTTTCAAGTAGTTGTGTATACTTTATAGAAGATTCTTTATCTCCTTGAAACCAGAAGTCTATTATAAGATAACAAAAGAACAACGGCCATTCACATTCAATATTTTCAAAGATCCGCAACTCCCACGGCTCGTAATACAACCGGTTCGGATCCTCTTTGGGTGTTTTGTACCCATCCCTAAGAAATCTCTTACACCCATACCTTCCTTGCAACTTCCCGACAATATTCTCCCGAGTATGCGTTATTAATCCAGCATCATCAACAGCAAACGCCGGAAAACCAATGACTGACAATATCCCACTATCTGTTTCCTTGGAACTAGATTCCCTGGGCAGCATTGACTGCAACACTGCCTGACACTTCTGTGCTTCATCAGCCAGTACATGAATGACACTATAAGGCCCACCTCTAGCCCCAAACAGATCCAATTCATTCAATGCTTCCAGTGCTGCTTTGGCCATACCAATACTACTAGCATTCAACTCAAGCAATCCATGATTTGTCTTATCACCCCTCTCCCAAATTCCATAATCTGGTGTACAATAAGCACATTCTATATAGAAGACTAAGTTCTGTATGAATGCAACTTCATCTAGAGTGAAAATGATTTGTAATCCTGATGCTGTCATCTGAGCCAGAATCAACAAGTATAAACTGATGGCATCCATCTGCAGGTGCCCCATTCTTTGTCCCCCACAACAGTCTGACCATTTAATGAGGAGTATTTTGCATGCAGTGCATCTAGAGGATTCTGTGTAAGCTTGAATCTTTCTACCTTGTCCTTCTGCTGCATCATAGACATGAGCAAACCTCGCATCAGCTTGACACAGGATTGCTCCAATTCATAAGTTTTGGACCTGTCTTCATCTTGGTCAGCCATCTTCTTATATGACATTGATAAGCCCCACACAGAGAGTATACAGTAAACATTGTCGCGGATCCAGGCATGAGGGTTGTCTTGGTTTTGGGGAAACAGACCAGTGATTGAGTTTTGATGATTTAGTATTACCTTGTGGATGATGCGATGGTAGTAATCAAGACGAACGCTGGAATTACTCCGGCTACGCATTGTGACACTTTGATTAGCACTCAAATTGAAGAATTATTTGTTAAAATGTAAATATGTAAAGTTTTTCAATGTCAACTGAAAGTCAACTGAGGTTAACCTTACTTAACTATTGTTTACTTAGTTTTTTTGTCATTCTTTGGACACAACTTTTAGCAGTAACAAGATACATATTACTAAAATGAGTATTTCTACAAACAAGATTTGATTTTATATAATAGAACGTTTTTAGTGATTATTATTTAAATTACTTTCTTTGGTAGTAAATATATGCGGTGTTGCCAAGTCTCTCACACCCCACTTTACTTAAAACATAAGTAACGCATGGTGCGCAGATCCACGTGCGCACGCGCAGCTTTGTTTATACCAATCATCTGTTTCTTACTTACTTACTTGAGAGCGATTCAAACAACTTCATAATAAGCTACAAACATTTATAGACATCGAACTTGTTTTTAAAATTTACAAACTGAAATCAGGTTGTTCCCCAACCGCACTACAAGCGCAGGTAGAATTCATTTGCATGTTTATTTAGTGTTTCGTTTTCACATTATAAAAATATAGGAATATCGCTTACAAAATATTCGTAAGTAGGTAGCGATCGCAATCATTACAAACTAATAAATCAATTGCAATTGGGCACTTGTAAAATGTAAAAATAACATGTGTTTCATGGTTCATATAATTATATACATTGTTTTTACAACTTTAGTGATATGTATCTCGCTGAATATTTAAAATCAACTTGTCTCTGAGGTAAATTTTCTTGATATGACTTGTAAAATCATCGTATTATGGCAGTGATCGGTGTGGTTGTGTCGTCGTTTGGAAATGTGATACACAATAACATTAATACTAATAAAATTATGACATTTTAAGCACACTAGAATTATCATATGCCCATGCATATTAGGTACTTGCAATATATAAATCACATACGTTCTATATAAAATCAAATTCATTTTGCTTTTTGTTTTGTGCTGTATTTTGGAAGACACATTAAATTTAAACGTTTATATAATATAATCTGGTCAGTCTTTACTAAAATTATGTTTTTAAGTTTTTTTTTGTTGATTTTTTTGGAATTTTCTTGCCCAAGATGCGCGACCAAAGAATAAATTTGGTTTGTGGATTCAAGACGATGATCACTTCTAGCCGCCATCTTGTCCTAAGCTTCGTGCTAACCTAAATTAATTTCGGAACAATCCCGTTGTATGCTTTTATATGTTGCTTAGGAACAGAACTTCGCCTTTGTACATGACTATAATGCGTTATCGGTCCTCTAATTTCCTAATCTTACAAAACTATGCGTGAAACCATCTCGCAAATCCCGCAACGCCAAGTCACACCTCGAGTAATGCCAACAGATTAAGGAACATATGTACAAATATTTCTCTCTTGTGTTTGTGTGCGTTTGACTTGTGTTGCATTCTTCGCTCACTTACAGATTACTTTCACTTTAGGAAGCTGTTTAAGCGGGAGCTTCCTTTCCTATTTAAAGCGTAATTTATTGCCTTCCCCCGTCGCCACGCAATTTACAGTCGTGTTTGTGTCTTGAATGTTTTCGCAACGCACTTCTTAAGTTATTTACAAAGCACCCGATCATTCACATCGCGTTGTTCAATTCGCGCGTAAGACCTATGTATGTGTACCTTCTACGTTATGTACAATTATATAAAATATGTAGCTATAATAAAATTCTTCAAAAAAAAATTACAAACAAGACAACGCCTAACTAACTAGTTCGGTTATTTGGTTCAGAAATGCACGTCCCGCACATCCGTCGGCGTGCCGGCCGTCTCGTGTTCGACAAACTTGTCGGATGTGGTGGGCGGCGGCGTGAATTCATCGGGCCTGTGATGGACCTCTTCCTCCACCATCGGTTCGGTATTGTTCGCGTACACCATGCTCTCGACTTTTCGCAGGCATGTTCGCAGATAATCCTGCAAAAACAAACAAATACCAAATTAAATCCAGCGCCATTTTGAATCCCTACTAATATTATAAATGCGAAAGTCCTTATGTTTGTTACACTTTCACGCAAAAACTACTTAACCGATCATCATGAAAATTTGTGCACATATTCTTAGTGGTCCCCGAATGGTTATAGGCTACTTTTTATTTAATAAAAAAAATTATTTTTAAATAAAATAAAGAAATTGTTTAGCCAATAATACCTCCGCATCTGGCTATTTGACTACTTTAACGCCATCTAGCATTCCAGCAATGAAGCTCAAACCTAAGTACTATAGTACCATCACACTGTATTATCACACTGTATTACCGACAGCTACGTCAACATCAAATCCAATTGACTACACTATGGAGACTGTACACTATACTTCCATAGACTATACTTTCAGCCATTTTAAACTTCCCGCCATTCTACTTCATTGTTACTTCTTCTGTGACTACAGACGCGTACGGAAGCAACTTCATTATTTTAGATATTCGCGAGCGAAGCCGTGGGTTAAAGCTAGTATTACATAAGTTGACTTGTAAAGTCAACAGTGAACAGGTGTCCCACACATGTGTGTGGATTTCAGCCCAGACTGGATGAAAAAATGAGTCTGGACGGTTTTTTGTTGAAAGACAAATTTATGAATGAAACTGATATCTTGCGTCTCCAACAATAACATAAATAAGATTAGGCAAGGCAAGGAGATTGAAGTAATGTGCAAGAGATGTGTTCATTAACAACGCATCATAGGCCTCAACTCAAATTTCTGTCTGTATCGCGATTGAAGGTCCACGTTTGATTTTGAACTCTCACCCTTACACGTCCTGTTTAGATAAAACGCTATCGGAATCCAATCCACATGTAGAAACTTATTTTCAAGTCGAAATACAAATTAAGTAAGAGAATTTATATTTACCTGTTCGATGGAGGTGATGTCGTGAAGGAGTGTGAGAAGGCCGTCGACTGTCCTTCCGCTCCGCGTCCAGCCGAGCCCGATCAACGCCGAGGCTAGACAGGCGCAAGCAATCATACTCGCTGGATGACTCGAAAATTCGTATTCTGCAAAGAGGCCAAGTTATAGTCAAGGATGTGCGACATACGCATCTACGCATACAAATTACATTATTCATTCATTCCGTTCATTCATCCACAACACAATATAATAAATATTCTCCAACATTGGTTGCCTATTTTGAGTAGGGTACATTATAGGTTAGGAGGTCACATCGTGTGGGGTTAAACCCATTAAAGTTGCTTTCTCAGCATCAAGTTGAACGAACGAATCAATCCGGCCCCCAAATTGGCGAGATTAATTCGAGACGGCCGCAAATTGACATCGTGCATGAGAATCGCCAGCGGGGGGACACTTCGAAGAATCTCCGCACAAAGGAAGAACACACATGCGAGCCGAGCAGACATCCGCGGCATGCGCACATGCGTTCGGCGAATAAATAAAAATTTATATGTGTAACTCATTTATTGGCTGGGGTCTCTCAAAGCAATTATTGTCACAGCCACACAGTGCAGATGTTTGCACCCGTCTCCGGGAGTCGCGCAGCGTCACACGATATCAAACATCCTTTCGCAACTCGCGTGAATCAGTCCTATCAAAAAATATGAAAAGAAAAAAAATGTGTCGGATGCCTTTGACCCATTGGAAACACAAATATATTCAAAACGCTTTGGATTTGATAAGAGAATATATGCGAGTTGTACACGTGTGTAAGGAGTATCAGATGATAATGAATGTCGCACGCGGAGAGAAATATAAATCCACGGCTACCTCGGGATACAGAGTCGTGTCGGAATGCAGCTGATCAGCGGATAACGGCGTGTGGGAGTGTAGGCAACACAAAAAAAAAAGAAAAAAAATGAACCATTAATGAAGAACAGGGCAAAATTGAGGTTATGCGTATCGATAATGAAGGTTGGAAAGTATATAAGTAAACACTATGAAGAAATAAACTTCTTCTTCGCCGCAATGGACGATATGTTAATGACACAGATATAAAAAGACAAAGCGCAGACATGCCGCCGGAGTGGTTCGAGTGGTCCTCGCGGAGGCTGTGTGTGCGGGCTGTGTGAAATGCGAATTCGATGTTGAAGATATTAAGGCGACCGCGGCCGAAAACGAGAGTGAGCGAGCCTTTGCAGACCTTGAAGAAGAAATTAAAGAGCCATTCATCTTTTAAGCCGCACACCGCAATGCACACATAAAAGTCTCGAGCGCTCTCCGCGAAATAACTGGTTGTTGCCACAAGCAACCAGAAGAATCAAGAAGATAATGAGAAACCGGCGAGATTTCTGGTATCGGTCTGTATGTATACATAAAACAAGCGAGTGCGTGAAGCGCAGAAACCGATCATGCGAAGGCCGCTGCAGCGAATACGCCACCTTCGAAGCGCGCCTCCGACACTTCGCATAGCTTCGCGAGGCACCCTCATTAATTATACGACGCCGCATAACTCTCGAAGATCAAACGAGGCTCTCTCTGCGCTTGATTGGCATCTCACCCACACATAACAACATCCACCCGTCATAACCCTAGACAACTGGAATGTAAATTCAATTTACCTCTGGCCCATAAGGAGATCAGCGTTTGTGCGTGGCTATTCACTCGCTGGTATTGACTGCTTTCGATGGGTATCCTCCGCAGCAAGTGGCTGAGGAAGTCTAGTGGTGTTACGGCGGCAACGTCCCATTTTAATTTGCTAAGTGTCAATTTTTCCCAATCCTGTAAAAGAATTAAAAAATTAAAATTTTGAATGTATTTTCTTGATAGGAAGAAAATGAAGGTTGTTTTGTATGCCCTGGAGGTACCCATGGAATGCCCATTAATGCTGGTTCAAAAAATTGTGCAAATCGCAATGAAAAAATGAAGAAATTAAAGAAAAATTGAAACGCGATGAAAAAAATAAAATAATAAAGTAGTGCCCTGGTGGCATGGTTTTTACAGCCGCGAATTCCACCGTCTGCGGCGCTCGTCAAGTTGTTCGCATTAAAGCGTTTCATTGACGAGTAAACCGGCATCGGCACCAGCTGAGCGCATGTTTTCTTCTTCTTCTTCTTGCATTCGATTTTAATGCGCGCGAGAGCAAGTGACACATTCCACAAATGACAAATTGACAACTCCATTCCCACGGCCGTCCTCAAGCGCGACTTGCTAAAACAAACTTCCAGCGCCAAGTTTTCATGCGTAAAAAGTAAACATTACCAACTGTTTTCCAGTCATTAGTACACTGAGCACACAGGTACACTAAAGCCATCTTTGTACAGATAATTACATCAAATAGTCTTTTAAGGTTTAACGAATATCAAATGAAACAACTCTGCATTTAATTCAAGCACTTATCAATAATCAGGTATCAGGGATGACAATAAAAGTGACTTTTTATCAAATAATTTCCTTCACTTTGTGTTTACACCAAAAAACCAGCGGCATGCTTTGGAATCTCATTCAGTGGAGTTCCGAGAAGGTGCAATCCGAATTCTACCTGTTACCGGTAATCCCTTTAAATATGTGCCACGTCGTCGCATGGGACAACGATCTCAGGTATACTGGAATTTTTCCCGAGCGCGATGACAGGTAGAGTTCCTCTACCAACCAAAATAATTAACTAGAAGATACTGAAATGTTGGGCGTTTGCCAAAACACAATCTATACACACGCTAATGGACGTAATAATCGAATGTTACATTACGTGCGAATTTTTATGTCGAGTTCAACGCACGATATGAATAAACCGCATAATTAGCACATTATAAATAATAAGATAAACAAAAATTTGTCCAGTAGTCCAGAAAAATTATTCAATTCAACGTAGCGAGTGAAAAATAAAAAAAAAATTAATTTTTGAAAAGTCAGCTGTTGTGAGGGCTGAAAATCGTCTGATAATGTTCATTTATCAATGAAAGATATTTCCATTGCTGGTAATAGATGTGTTGAGGCGAGCTGGCTGGGTGATAAAAGGCGTCGAGGATATCTCTGGCTCGCGGGTCAGTTCGCTCAGCTGTCTTTGACATTTCGTAGACGTGATAAGGGCTTTTTTCGGCGCGCGTGTAAACACACATAAATAGATCGCCGATCGTCCATTCATGAATGAGCTAATTATCGTCAGCGAAACACATTAAGTGAGTTATCAACATGTTTTTGCAACAATGTTTCTAATTTGAGCGAATTTCGGTGAGTGGTGTAACATTTGCACCCGGAACATTTATCGTTCTCGTGATAGCTCAGCAATTACAGGCTGAAATTGGATTTTTTGTGTACTCAATTGTTTCTTATTGCGTTCCACCAGCCGTTGGAATATCTTTATCTTAATCGGCGCGAGCAAACAGGAAATCTCAATTTCCTATACGAGTGTGTTAGCAGAGCTTTTTCTAATCACTGAAAATTTTGTGAGTTATATTATGCTGCACCTTTTGCATGGCATAGAAATGCGGGCCCTAAAAAATTATGAAAACAATACAATATCAACGTGTGGATAAGCTTTTACGAATACCAGGAAGTCCCAGTCCCTCCATTGCCGATAATTGCCTGAACAGGATGTTCTCCACATTTACAAAGCGTTAAAAAGCTCACTTACGTATTAAAACGCGTGAAACTAGTTTCATCAAACATTCAGTATCGTAGTCCCTTTAAATATTAAAAACGACGGTGTTGTTTACCATTTGATACCCGTGCACACGAAGAACAAAAGGCAAGAAGTTGGTCACGAAGAAGAAGTTGATAAGATTGTTTCGGACGATGCCCGCGTCGAGATTAGCCTCGGAAACTAATAAATATGCGCAATCGGGCCGTAATAAATTGCCTGTGAAGCAATAAATAAAAAGTGTCGGAAGAGATTGCGGTCACTGTTGATAGGGAAATCAATTTTCCATAAGACCCTGTGTATGAATTTAAAAGGCGCAGTTTATTTGTTTGGCTTGATTAGAGTACCACCAAGAAATTACACACGTGCGCTTCCAACAACGCAAGCTCTAATGAGCTTAAATAAATAATTATGCAACTGTGCTTCATGGGTAAATAAATTAATCAAAAACTCAAACATTGCATGGGCATTCCAGGTCGTTACACTGACAAAAATTTAAAAGGTTTTTAATAACACGTGCCTGAAATCTTTCACCTTAGTTCTAAATAGTTGAAAATTGAGGTTATGTCTGACTTACCCAGAGTTCCTGTCGTGTAATGCTGTTATCCGTATAGAAAACTAATGTATCCGCCAACAGGGGTTTGGGTTCTCGGAGTTTCGAAGCGATGAGCATGCTGCATGTGCCTAGAAGTTGTAGTTGATTCTTTCGAATGTTGCACGTAGCTAGGAAACGGTCCATCAGGTTCACCGCCAGCGTGAACACTTCATGCTGGCACTTTTGGTCTTCACACACCTGTAAAACAAATCACATCAAATTACTGAATATTTTCTCGGCAGTTACATGAATGTGTGTTAGTCACCACGTCACCAGCGTGGTTTTTTATCTATGCGCGCAAGGACAACAGCATCCGAGAGGCACCAGCTGGGCCGAAAAAAAATTTGCTGCATGTGTAAGGCGAGAACGTGATCGTCAAAATCCGCCTGTTAACTTAAATTCGCAAGAATAAAGTCGTACTGACCGGTTACTGAATTTATCACCGAAAATTTACAATTCAACCTTGGTGTGAAGGCGACGCAATAGATTTAGTTAAAATGCACGAAAAAAATTATTGTAGCTTTGAATGTCATTATAGAATCATCGACTCACTGGCGATGGTGGTGAATGACCCACAACGTTCGGACATGTCTGTCATTTAAAAATTTAAAGGGACTATAATTGCCGAGCAAGCTTTATTCCACCTAATCATCATTTATATTATTCCTTACACATTCATAGAGGATGTTTACAGCAGCACGACGGCTATACAATTCATACAAATCGAATTACATTCAACATTTTGCGACAACATGCAGTTTAGTATTGATAACACGATGCTTTCCGGCGTATTTTTATTTTTTGCTTAGTGAGCTGAGTGAATACCTGGAAATAATCATGCACTACGTATTATTAGAATTGTTGAAGCAAAAGATGTCCTAATTTTTTTAAAGCTAAATAAATGATAAGATTTACAACTCTTTTTGGCGAGAAAAAATGAGATCAAGTAAATTTGCACGGAAAATTGCGTGTTTTATGAATTTTTTAGGTCGCTAGACACGCACTGACATCGCACCGCCGCGTAAGCCTTTTAATTATTTAAAGCGCACACCTAGCGCGAGATTTAAACACCGTGACCGACATATGATAGCGTACGCGGACACGCATATTCAATTACTCGATTACACAGTTTTCGGCGACATTATAAGCTTATTTTGCAATCACACAGCGCAAAAATTTCAATGCGATTTGTGATTGGTCAGATTGCAGCCAACCGGGGCGCATGGTTGTCTCTAGGCAGCTTAAACGCAAATTCAAGCTCACCACGTGGAAATATTTAAGTTGAAATTTTTAGAAAATAAAAATTTAAGGGTAGTGCATTGCTCCTACCTCCATCATCCACTCAGTGACGATCTTACGCATCGCCGGAGTCACTTCCTTTTGGGCATTGAGAAAGTTCACAGTTTGCAGAGTATATCGTTCCTCGGTCTTGAGCAGATTGCGCAGCACTCGTTTGTCGTTAAGTAGAATCGGGTCCACATAGGCTCTATTCTCAACCACCGATGACGATTCACAACAGAGCAAGTCGTTCATATTGTCGCCGGCGAGGGCGAACAATTATTTAATAATTTTCCGATTGATTAGTCTCGCACACACGTTTTGGATTTCGCACACGCGGAGTTTGAAAACTTTGGACTTAAATTATTGTTATTATGGTAGTGCTTAAGTATTATTTATTTTTAGATAAAGCTTTTTCGGACTTGCGTTTTGGACTTGTTGATTGAGTGGATTAGTTTTTAGCTTATGTTGTAATAATTTAAATGTTTTGGCAGTTTGTGTTAAGTTGTGTTTCGTTGGGGTTGTGTGTTAAGTACTGGATGTTTGGGAGAGCGCTTTTGGAATAGTACAGCCCGATACTGGTTCAGCACCACTGTACGCCAGTTGTGAGCGAACTGTGCGGATGCGTCCGTGAAACTTAGCGGTGCCACGATGATGGTGGGGGACTTCACCACGAAAACAACCGAAGCACACACCAGCTTTCTTCTTCTTCGACGAATTTGCCACCCCAATGGCTCAACAATAACTTTTAGTAAAGACAAAATTAAATTAAAAAAATGTTTTATTTTCTGTGCTAAATAATCAATAATCGAGCAAACACGTGAAAATTAAAATTTTGTTTAAAAATTTTGAAAATTTTTAAAATTTTTGAAAAATTTTTTTGAGATTTAACGGTTATTATTACATATTTTATGAATTTTTATGCATCGTTATTTATTCCCAGACGGCGTCATCTGAATTCCTTACTTTAATTACAATTTCTCATTAATTCGTAGCCGTTTAAGATTTCTTCCCCGCTCATATCGTTTCACACAGCCTCCGATTACCAAATGCCGCGCAGCGAAAAAATCGTTAAACGATTTTTGTTATCCGTGCACACACAATCAAAATGAAAACGTAAATACTCACACTCACGATATCATAATCTTGCGTTATTTATTTAAAAACTAACGGTTCGAGAGCATCTCCAGCTCAAATCTGTCGCCAGAGATGCACATATCTACATTACTTCTGGGCCAACGGGCATAATGAGTTGGAATGACATTGATAATATTATGTAGCTATGTTTTATTAAACTTTCCGCTGACCCCAAAATTATAATAGTTTTAACTGACGGAAAAACGAATTAAAAACTGTTATTTTAAGCTCTAGAGAGAAATTTTTCTCTGAATGGATTTTAATTTTTTAAATCCCTGTAATGCGGTGTGAATGACTAACAACTATTGACTAATAATATAAAATGTGTTAGTTGCTGATGCGTCTGGCGCCTGGTACAACATTTCCGCGTAACAGATTAATCGCTTTGCGGTTCAAAATAATTTTTCACTTCAAAAATTCCACGCAGTGAATAAAAGTAAAAAAGAAAGACGTAACGCACGATTGCACTCCCATGCTTTCAATGAACGTTTGGCGCATTTTCCAGTCGATAAACTCGCCGATTTAAAATCGTTTCGCGACGACAAATACAAGATGACACAAAGCGCCAAGGAATCGCAAGGTCTTAATGACAATTTTATTGATGATTGTCTGCGGTCCTCAGGACTTCAGGACTTGCGCATCAAAGGCGGCTCATTGAGACATCAAACGTAAACGACTTTATCACTGCAAAATTCATCGACTCATGCCAACTATTTATTTTAAATTTGGTTGTTATACTGAACAAGAAAAACTTTCGTTTTTTTTAAATTTTATTTTTGAATGTGAATGTTTGCGATGGTGTAAACGTAAAAAATGCCAACGTTTCCGTTCACACATGCCAAGTTAAATATTAATTCAAGAAATGTATGAGCAATGCGCAAGACACCACGATGTGAATTATTTTCGCGTGCTCAGCGCATATACTTGCAGCGCGTGTGAAGACAGATTTTGCACTTGCTCGTGTTTTGCTTGTGCGACAAGTGTTTTCGGTTGTTAATTTTCCTTCACACCGATTTATATTGACATTATGCATTTCTTTGTTCCTTTCTGCAGTTCGGACGAATATTATTTGTTTATTTATACAGAGATTCAGCGTTCATTCATTCATTCATGGATAAATGAGTAATAATACTAATAATACATGCATTATATGATGCAAACGAGTGGCGCCTGTTTCCTGATATAATTTATTATTTTGCTGCGATAATTGAAGCGCAAATATGAATTTTGTTACTCATACCGCTTATGTAAGCCTAATTTGTATGGTTGGACTTCGTTTTGGAATCAAAACGTCCGATATTTCACAAATAATATGCATTTCTGTAAGTTTTATTAATTTTATCAATTTAAACACCTCCTACAGGTAGAAATGAATGTGTCATTCATAAGAATAATTTTAGAATAAACTAGCTGTTGCCCGCGACTTCGTTGCGACAGTGTTTAATAAAAATGTAATTCGTTTTTATTCTCTTGTTCTAGACATACTCGTGGTAAGAGTCAATTCTACCAATAAGATTAGCAATTTTAATTTAAAGAAATTATGCATATAAAGTTTTGTCAATAATGCACTTCAGCGCGCCATCTCGAATTCAACTATTTAACTATAACTATGATTGAATTTCAATGTCAAATTTTATTTTATAGAAAAGAGCTGTTTTTAGGATTTTTCCGGCAATTATTCGAATTTATCTCACCTTTTAAACCTTCCCTGGACCTCCACGAATAATTCAAGACCAAGATAAGATAAATCCGTTCAGCCGTTCTCGAGTTTTAGCGAGACTAACGAACAGCAATTCATTTTTATATATATATAAATATTGTTAGATAAAACTTGATATTGTACTCAAAAATATTACTTTTAAAACGATTATAAAACCACTAAAAGTTTATCCCTAATCTTATTGTGTTAAAATTTGTTGTCATGCAAATATTCAAAGAAAAATACGATTTTAAGCTCTGTTTAGTAATTGCCCAGGCGCCAAGTCTGCGGTAACGCAAAATTTCCAAGAATTTTACTTTTCACTAAAGCCCTAGACGTGCCCCACGTGTTTACAACATGCCGCATTGCTAATGTGCTAATAAAAGTGGGATTTTCAGAAAAATTTATTTTTCACACTCAGTAAATACTCCTAGGCGCCATTTTATATTTAATTCAAATGAATTGATAAAACGTTGCATTCCATCGGTGACTTTTTCATCTTTAGGCGGTGCGAGGCCGACGATTGAAAATATCATTAGTCATTGATTCAGATAAGCGTTATAAATAGACGTCGAGGAGGGTTGGTCACTTCACTGGTCGAACTCTCGGTTCCCAACAATGGGCACACACAGATTCTCACCCCTTTGATGTTTTCACAATGCACGCTTGCTGCATAAACCAAACAAAACGAAGATACTTCGAAAGAGAAGCGCAACAAGTGCTTCTCAACCGAAAACCAGCGAGATATTAGGGTTGATAATTGCATGGGATGGCCTTACGGCATCCTGAGAGAAATCCTATCTGGGCAAGACCAATCGATGGTCAGTAATTAACATACTAAATGAAAACATAAATTTTTTGATTTAAAATTTTTCTTTGGTTAAAAATTAAATTTTTGAGGTTAGGAAACACTCTGTAGTTGGAGGCAATATAAATATTAAATATCCATCGGCGATGTTAAGGGATAACCAAATTAAGAACAGTTTAACCATCGATTAAAGATAATTTTTCAAAATATTCTCTTCTCATCAATTTAATGCAGTTAAAACGTTGATAACGTAAGTTTGTGTTGACATCTCCAGCCGCCATCTTGTTCTACGTCCACAGTCGCCATATTTCTTTTGTCTTGTCTCCTCAAGTAGAAGATTATCTTTCGGCCGTGTCGGAATGCCGCACTGAACGTGAAGCAAAACAAAAGTGAGCTAATATCGCGCGCCGTGCGCTATTGACAACATTGAATGCCTTCGTTTCTTTCGCAGACTGCTGAAGACCTCGAGAGCCGCCGCATTGTGCGCCGGTAGTTTTTGTTATTGTGCTGCACTTGGTTTATGCAGTACGCGCGAGTACTTAACGTTGCCGTTCGCGATTCATCAGATATGTCGCGGTGCATTTTATGAGATAATTCGAGAGTTTCCAGAATTAATTAATTCAAACCATGTGCGTAAATTGTTATATTGATATTTAATTATAGTTTAGTTGTGAGAGAAAAAATTAGTGATTTTAGAATCGTACTTCGGTAACATTCATATTTTAAATATACAATTCATACTCGTATTTCTTCTTGTGTTTTACATTACTTGCCCTTTTATTGTTTTGCGTCGTGGGTCGGCGTGCATGCGGGCGAAATTTCGCATATGCTGGCGCGTGGGAGGGCGCCGAAATTGACATCCGAGAACAAAACCGCCACCGGAGAGAAAACGCACAAACGCACAAGTTCATTGATTGCACCAACAGCGTCCTCGACACATGTACGGCTTGTAAAAACTCTTTTATCGTCACTACACCGCCAAATGAATGAATTCCAAACTCAATTTCGGAATTTTGCTGGGGCCCCGCATGTTTGTGCAGAGTGTATTATAAAGGCTTCTAAATGCAATTTTATTTTTAAAAATACATGGAGAATATTTGGAATGTGAAATTCTACACCAATCGAATTTTATTGAAGCCCTTAATAATATCTAGGGCAATTATTAACCCTGCAGTTATTCCCACGTCTTGTTTTTCGAATAGTTTTAGGGTTATAATCAGTTTAGATTCAAGTTATATCAATTTTTACGATGCCCACGATACGAAAACTTGTAAATGCTAAGTAAACTTTGAAATAAATTCGCAGTAAAATCGACAGTTTGCATGTGACGAAGCAGACGAAGCTAATGAAAACATTTTATAGCCTTTTACACTTCATATCATATTTATGTTCTTTTACGATGGATTTGTTTCTGCTACAACCTATACATTCAATAAAATTTAAAAAAATTAAAAATTTCGTTTTCTTTTCTTCTATCGAAATAAAAATGAAAATTTGGAGTATATTCTACATCTACATCAATATCCGTTTGATAAGTTGCACCGCATCGCCTGTGAACGCGTTCATTCATTATCCTTTTCTTCTGCGCCAAGGACGGCTCTCTAATTAAACATCCGACCGGCTCGGCGGTTGTGAAGGTGGAAGGTTGCCCGCGCTCTCGAGACGCTGGCGCGCACGTATTAGTAAAACGGTCAATGGTGTGTTTATGTGTATTCGTATTTCTTTGCGCATATGATCCATGATCGATGAATTAAAATGCCAATGGTTTCGGCTGCGGTGGACGAACGATTAAGTCACTACCACTTTGTAAAAATTTGCAAGAAAATTGCGTTAAATTATATAGCCTTATTCTCTTCATCATCTTAAAAATTACTTTTTGCTTTTGTCACGCTGATTATGCAAAAAGAAACGAAATTATCGATTATAAAACGATTTCGGCTTGTTTCAAACAATTTCGCGT